AAAAAAAAAAAAAAAAGAAATATTTAATGAATTTAACGGTAGGCCCAAAACAGAGGTAGTGGTCATAATCTCAACCAGACACCTAAAATAAATATACAATCTAAATAAGCAAGAGTATTTGCTCTAAACATGCTATCTAAAGACAAGTCCTCTTAAGGACTGATTGCTGTACCTCTGCCTCTCTCATAAAATCATTCATTCTAGGAGTTGCCACTGGTACAGAGGATATAACAACAAATCTATAAAATGGGGACAATTCCTGTCTCATAGAACTGTTTAAGAATTAAACGAATTAGGGCTTCCCTGGTGGCAGAATGGTTAACAATCTGTCTGCCAATGCAGGGGACATGGGTTCGAGCCCTGGTCCAGGAAGATCCCACATGCCGCGAAGCAACTAAGCACATGTGCCACAACTACTGAGCCTGCGCTCTAGAGCCCGTGAGCCACAACTACTGAGCCCGTGCGCCTCAACTACTGAGCCTGCGCCCTAGAGCAACGAGAAGCCACCGCAGTGAGAAGCCTGTGCACCACAACGAAGAGTAGCCCCCGCTCCCCACAACTAGAGAAAGCCCACGCGCAGCAACGAAGACCCAACGCAGCCAAAAATAAATAAGTTTTTTAAAAAAGAGTCAAACGAATTAATAGATAAAGCCCTTGGAACATGGGGACCTAAGCACTACATAAGCATTAGCTATTATTATATTTACGGTATTGCTATCCCAATGAGGTAAGAAAGGGTGGGAGAGAAGGAAATGATTCTGAGAAAGGTATTATACAAGAGCTAAAATGGAGGTGAGCAAACAACGCCGAGGCCCACAGTCCAGGTTGTAGGGTTAAGTCTTGTGGTCAGCGGCTCATGGCCAGAACTACCTGTTGGACAGGAGTCAGCGGTCCAGAGGTGGGCCCTGGTGTTCAGGAGGCAGAGCCCAGTCCTTGGGTCATTCACTTCCCTCTCTCGTGATAAAATTAGGGCCTGGAGGCCCAGGGTGGGAGAGGGGCCCGGACAGCCTTTTCCACCCTCTACATGTCCTCAGTTTGCGGAGCACAGGACGGGCGGCCGATATAGCTTTGGCCTAACGGGGGTAAGTAGTGACTGGACTGCCTCTGGCTGTGCGAACTACGCTTCCCAGCATGCAATGGGTCAAGAGGGGCTTCCGGTCTCCCCCGGCGCCTCACAGGTTCAGCTGGGAGTTTCCATTGACCTCCGAGCCCCTCTGGTTCGGAGGAGCTCAGGTCCCCTCTAGGCCCCTCCCCTTTTTGAGGAGGGGTGACCTCGCGGAGTTCCGCGAGCTGCTTCCTTCTTCCCCTCTCACTGGTCCAGCCTAGAGGCCATTCCTGTGCGAGGAGGAGAACTGGTTACTGATTGGTGGATTCCGTTTGGCGCCAACTAGGAAAGGGAGGGCGGGGCATTGGCAGGCCCCAGTGAGCAGCTATTACCGCGAAAGGCCACCTCGGCAGCGACAGCCCGGGAGGGAGGTGAAGGTCGGCCTGGTTTTCAGCACTCCCGGGCTGGGCAAGAGAGTGAAAGAAGAGTGAAGAGAGTGTGAGACCGAGCCGTGGCCTCGCGGTCTAGCCGCTCTCCCTCCTAGACCTGCCCCGCTTGTTTGGATTTAATCTTCAGGTTGCCGGCGCCCGCCCGCCGGCCTCGCGGAGTGAGGGGAAGCTCTCGCGCCTGTGGCTGGCGCCTGCCGAGTCCGGACACCCGCTCCTCCTCTTCGCTTGCCCGCGGCAACCGCGTCCCTGAACCGCGGGGCTGTGTTTGTGTTTGACCCGCGGGCTCCGGCAGCGGGGCGCGCGGCCGAGGCCAGTGCCGGCCGGGCGGGGCGGGCGCGGCGGAGGCGGAGGAAGAGGGAGCAGGATCCCTGGGAGGCAGGGCGCCGCCATGGAACTGGGCCAGGAGCCCCCCCACCGCCGCCGCCTGCTCTTCGCCTGCAGCCCCCCTCCCGCACCGCAGCCCGTCGTGAAGGCGCTGTTCAGCACGCCAGCCGCCGGGGGCCTGTCGCCTGTCACCAACCTGACGGTCACCATGGACCAGCTGCAGGGCCTGGGCAGGTGAGGAGGG